TTCTAAAGACCCACAATTACTGAAGTTGCATCTCTGGTCTCATTTGTTATAAAACGGTGTTCTTAACTGTGGTGGCTGGAAATGTCTATCTTTTACAGCTTTTTTTTATTTATAACTTTAGACGTAATTTTCCAGAGGTAATTTTTTGCTTTATTCCACAGTTATGCTGCCAAGACATGTAAAAATTTGTAGATTTAATGTGGTAAAACGTGAAAAAGTTTAATAAATTCTTTTTTGCAGTAAAATTACAACCCACAAAATTATTCTTCCACTGAAATAAACATTGCGGTTGTACATATGAAAGAACCCTCTACTTGTTTAGTTTGACTTCCAGGTAATTAGGCAGATGGGAAAGTACAGTATGATGACATGGAATCCAAGCAGTACTCACTGTAAAATTAAGAAAACACAATTTTTCTGTTTTTGCAGAATACTTTCATGCCTCAGTATTTCAGATCCAACGAATTGTAAGATTTGTGATTACTTGAGTAAACATACCGTTCACTTTCCAAATGATCATTTTATTTATTATGGTGCTCTCCAAAGCAACCAGATCCAGAGTCAAAAAGTAACATTTCACATTGTTAAATCACAAATTAATTAGTCAGAGATTAACTGCAACTTTTAGTTAAATTCTACAACTCATTACTTCCAGCTTTGTACAATCAACTTGCTAAAAGTTATCTTGTTTGAAAACATTTAGTAACCTTGAAGATTCCTAAAAGTAAGATGTTATGTCTCAATGTATCACCTTTACGAAAGGCACAAATTGATACACATACAGAAATAAGATAAAATATCAAAATTCCAGTAGCTAAAATAGAAAATAATAATGACATATATAAATTTCAAATGTACTAAAAAGCTAAAATGTCAGTGGTTTCACATTTTGGACTTTGCATCTTGTATTTTTTTTTTAACTTTTAACATTACAGCCAGCCTTTTTACTGGCAAAGTCACAAGAAGTAAATGATACGTGACAAATTGGCCTCAGACATTTCCTCTGCAGATTCAGATCATCTCTTGGAGCTGTGCGTGGATGTGCAGCTGCAAACAGCAGGTGTCCAAAAATGACAAAAAGCAAACATACAGAGTAAGCTGGAATGTTGTTGTTCAAGGCTCGGATCGGCCAACACAAAAAGAGCAAATCTGGATAAACAGAAAGGATGTGAACTGTAGGTTAAAAGTTAAGAGACTCACAAAATTCTGTAAATCTGCAGATATAACATCATCAGAAAGAGCTACATTTGGCTCATACAAGAGCTCTTAGCATCATTTTTTGAATTCGTATGTACAGAGATGTTGCAAATAATGCTAACAATAAAAATACACAAAACACATTGTATCATACATACAATTGTTGCTATTAAAAGGAATTAATTTGTAGCCAATAAATTAGAGTAAAGTATATTTATTTCAGCAAAATTAAATAAATTAAATACCAAATAATGATTAATTACAAACAAGCTGATAGTTTCAAAGCTTTATCAATAATTTATTATTGTCCTAATTATTAGAATTTTTATGTTTACAGCGAAAGAAAACACAACATTTAGTCAGAAGATTAAAATATTAGATCATACAAGGAAAAACAAAACATTTTTCATACAAATCTTTGGGTTTAATGAGATGTGTATTTACTACTTGCTTAAAGGTTAGTTTTAAAAAGGCACTTGTAATGAAATGAATGAAATGCATATTATAACTTGTTGAATATCTGCACCATATCTGTATTAGAATGTCTATTCTTTCACACAATAAAGTATCTTGGTAACACTTTGTTCGAAGGGGGTTGAATAAGACTGTCATGACACTTTCATGAACATGACATAACGCCTGTCATGAACATAAATAAGCCTTCATGAATATTTATGACTGTTGTCATAAAGCGTCATTCGGTAAATTATGACACTTTTAATACAAAGTTGACATTATTCAAAATGTCTTCGTTATGACAACTTGACATTAACCAAGAAATCATTACTGTTTAAATTTTATCTTTAATAACATAAAGTTACCTAATTTTTAAAGTGCAATCAGTAATACTTTTATAACAAATTTATATATCAGTCTTATGTGAATAAGACTGACATATTACCACTGACATAGTGGTAACAAATAAAGTGTTACCACTTTATTTGAAAGTGGTAACACTTTCAAATAAAGTGTTACCAGTATCTTTAACTAAATCTGATAAAACATAATATGCTACTGTGGTTTCTAAATAGCTGAACAAACCTAGAAAAGATGTGTAAAAACAATTCACTTTCTTTACAGCAGAAGAAACTAAAAACTCTAAAAATTTAGAAAAATTTCCTATTTTGTTTGAGTTTATTTTGTGTATGAAAAAAAACAATCCCTCTTTAAGCTATAATTGCTTTTAAAGTCATTGATGCCACATCTTACACAGACAGTTATGTAATGCATGTACGTCAATCTTGATAAATAATTGTTAACTACCAGAACTTGTGCGTAGCTACAATCAGAGTAATAATGAAAAAGCTAAAAACTGAAGCCAACCAGGATGGACAAAGACCCAAGTCAATGTTTCACCATGCAGATTAACCACTAAATGTCTATGTACAGACCAAACAACCTGCTGTTATGGAAATACCTACCGACCTAACGTGGGTCTCAAAGAATAAACCGCTTCCTACACTCCTGGAATAAAACATATCTGCTATCTTTAACAAAGCATTAAGTCATCCTGCAGCAACGTTTTTGTAATCACACTACCTTTATTGCTCTGATCACAGACAACGAACATAAACATAACTTCAAAGAAAAGTGGATGCATGATTTTAAATCTCATTCCATTGCTGGGTTTCTGCGATGCAGTGTCCATGAATGCAAAAGAAACCCCAAGTCACTGTGTAAAGTGCCTCCAAACCTCTTCTTCTTTCTACAGGTGCTGTTGTCTGCAGGATGTTCAGTGCCGGTGGTCTGGTGAATCTGCCAAAAGTGCAGCAAATCATCAATCATGCGTCCAACACACACACAGATACAGTGTTGCTCTGTGGGCAGCTGTCCATTGTTTAAGTATATTCTGTTTATTTAAACTGTCCTGAGTAGCGGAGCAATTCTCCAGAGGAATGTACCCAGTAGCACAACACAGACACATCAGCTTTTATAGAATGTAATCTTGAGTCCCCGCAGTAAAATACATATTTAACATAAACACATCTCTTTTTCTACCAAAGAAGCAATTTCTTTGACAGATGAAAAACTAAGAGCTACATTGTGGCTTTAGTTTTCAATATATTTTTGATGATGATGTGGGGATGGTTTGTTTTAAATCGATTTTCTTGAATAAAAATATACAATGAATTTATTGTGATGGTTACTGCAGAGGCATTTCTAGTGATTTTTTCATTTCACAGTTTTGATGCATTCTGGATAAATTCCATACATCAAGCAAAACTATTTTCCATATTTCCTCATTTTCTGCCTCTCTTTTGGCAGTGTTTGGACTTTAAGTGTTCAAATCCATGTATTATATTTGGTTTATTTGACTGTGAATCACTCCCTGACATTTGTCTGAAAGGTCCTTCATTGTTTTTTATTTTTGATAATTTCTTTTCTGATTATGTTCAGGGTGGAATTTTTCCCAGACTTCTCCATTGATCCTGTCTGAGTTTCTAGTCTGAACTCTAAAGTGTTGACATGACTTTCTTTTGTTTACCATTTTTTGTTTATTTTCCATCACTTATATCCTCTAACATTACTTAATGCAGAGCTTTAGCAGCATTACTTGTATACTCCCATTTATCATGATTTGACTTATATTTATTTGAGAATGTTCTTTAAGTATGTTTTCCAGCCTCTGCATTGGGAACGTCACATCTCCCATCACATTCTCATCCCTCAAAGATTCGTTGTACTTCTTTCCGATAAAAAAAAAAAAAAAATTTGGACCCATAATCTCAATATTAATGCTATTCCTCAATAAGGGTTTGTGGTAGTGATAGCCAGATGAGTCCTTTATGTACCAGCAATTTAGTCTTGCACATAAAAGTTGAGAATTTGTTCAGGAAATAATTAAAAATTGTAAACAAGTTCTAATGGTTTAGTGGAAAGCAGAACTGAACTGATCTTCAGTCACATACAATCTGATAAAATGATACAAGTCTAACATAGGACCAAAAAAAGAAAAAAGAAATAGGGCCAAGAATTAATCTTCAGGAGATTACAATGTCTGGAAAGCATAATAAATGGAAACTAACACAGAACAGAGATGAACCAGGATCTGAGAGATCATCTTGTTTTGAGTTGAGGTATTCCAGTTGTTTGGAGAATACATTTATGGACTCACCTGGTTGGAGCTATATTTTCTATTTCAGGAAGATTTTAGTTTACTGCATATTTATAAATTGTGGCATTACGCCCCCAAGGTCTAGGAGTCCAGGGCCGTTAACATAAAATGTGTCCAGAGCAACAAGCGGAATGTAAAATTACAAAAAAAAAAAAAAAGGTTTCACAAAACAATACAATTTAGCCCAACTAATGTAAAACAAAAGGGATTAACCTCAAGAATATTAAAGTTACAAAATGTCCACACAAGTCAATTCAAAGTAAACTCAAAATAACCCAAAAGGAGGGGAAGACACACAAAGGGAGTACCAAGCCTCCCAAACAAGCTTCTAGCTTGGCAAAACAATCTGAAGCAGTCAAGCTACTCAGCAGAACAAATTAGTTCAAAACTGCCAAAGCAGTTGCACAAAACAGCTCAAAACAAACTGCCTAAAGCAGTTACAATCACCAAACGTGGGGAACAACTTCACAAAACCTTTTCCAACTAGCTGTCCCACTGGCGGAATGGATTCAGGAGCCTTTTATATGGTACAGGTAGGCCTCATCAACGTCTGATTGGCTTGTCAATCCTCTGCTGGTCCAATGATGTAACTGCTCTCCTGCAGCACTCAGGCAGCCAATCAGGAAGGTGTGCTCTCACAGCTGATCCTGCATAACAAAAAGGGAGCCTGCACAGCCTCAAGAGGCCATGGAGCCGTAATATGTGGCAACATAAAATTTTTCAGAGGGCTGAAAATGAATATTTGGACTCCCCATGTACAGAACGTTGGGCTCCTACTTAGTGACTAGAGATTTATTTAAAATGAGATTTATTTTTACTTAGCCTGGAATGACTCAGGAAAGCCTATCTGACTAGAAATTAGTGTGAAAGTAAGCAAAGTAAAAAAAAAAAAAAAAAATCAGAACCTTCCACAAGTATGCAGTCTGAAGATGAAAAGCACGACAAAAGCAAAATATAATAAGTACTTTGGGACTTTTGCACAGTATACTCAACAGCTGAGATGTAACTCCTTCAGCTGAGTATCCTCCCACCCTCCACCTCTTCCTCCTCATTTGTCTCTGTCGCCGCCTTTGAGGAGGAGAGCAGCGGAGCTCAGCTCAGTGCATCGACGGCTCTCCTCCGCGCGTCATGCGGACATCCTCATCCTCGCCCCTCGGACACCGTAGCGCCACCCGGACCTCCCACACACCTCCCGGAGAACCGTTCACTTCTTGCTTGCCTCCAGCACTTGCCGCGGAAACACATATTTGTGTTCCTTCTTGAAGAGTTATTTAAGTACAGATTTATTTATTAACTTGCTTCTTGAGACTACTTTGGGAAGCGTGAGTCCTTTCCCGGGTCAGTTTGCTGCTTTCTGGACGCCCAAGGATGAACAGCTTCCTTCACCTGGCTCTGCTCCTGCAGCTGGCGCTCTGGGAAACGGTGAGTAAAGACGACAGTTTCCGATTTACCTAACTCATAGATTAGTTCATAGATTTGTCGGTGGGTTTGCCTTTAAAAGAAAAAAAAATTAAAGTTAATTTCCATTACCAAATAAAAAAAAAATAAAGCACCGGGCTTTTACATAATAATTGACAGTTCAATATATTAGATCCCAATATATATTTGATAAGAAAGTAAAGTTTCATCAAGTTTCCTAAACTCCTCAGACATTTACGTGAATTTACGACCTGCTGTCCCTGCTGTTTGTTGTGTCAGGTGTGAATTAGTGTCATAATTCTCTCAATGGGCATCTCACTATATCTCTATAGCTCTTACTTCCTCTGGGATATGAACGCCCAATAAAAACTGTTATGGTTTCGACCTATTTGACATGTTTTTTTTTTTTTAACATTTGCATTGTTTTTCCATAAACAAACAGAATCAATCATTTCAAAAGCACTTTAAGAATATCTAATACAATTGGATTAAAGAAAAGAACGAACATCTCTTGTGACTCCATTAACGTCAGACACTCTGCAGACTGACAGCTACAAAGGGAAATCATGAATTTCTTTCCTCCACTCATGCGAAAATACACATATTCTTGTTTGAATTTCAAACAATGCAGGTAATTCAATGAAAAAAAATATTCAGCTCTTATTCAATTTCAACCTCATCTGAACTTCACGGCATTTCATCTCCACCAGCTGCGGCCACACTTGAGTGAGAAGGATTTCAGATGTCATTTTATTATTTTTTTTTCCCCCTTCACACACAAACATGAATCACCTTATTTTGACATTTATATATTTTTCTGGCAGTATGATTTACAAAAGTAATCAGATCTGTTGACATTTTGTCAGTACCTAAACAGTTTAACACTGAACTGGATTTGTAATAAAGAATTGAAATTAAACATAAATGAAAACAGCCAAAGTAAAAATAACTCAAACAAGAAATGAAACTGTAAATCTGTCACAAACTTAGTGAGGTTCCTCTTCTTATTTCCTGCAAGAAATTCTTCCAGACCTTTTGAGTCCTGACATCAAATTACCTACTGCCTCAGGCAAGTATCTTCTTGCAGAACAAGTAGCAAAACCTTAAAATCAATTCTAAAGGCCACAGGTAGTTGGAGTATGGAGGCCAAAATGAGGAAACATGCTGTCATCTTTTTTTTCCCTCTGCATCCTGTCAGTGCCCTGCCGATTGACAATGTGTTTTTCTTTCCCACATACAAGGAAATCAATAGATTTTTGTGGCCAGATAATGAATGCCAGCAGCCCACTTCTAGGAAACAGATGCAGGAAAGAATTTGGAGTTAGAAAAGAATAAAATGTAACCCCCCCACAAAAAAAACAAACAAAAAAAAAACAAGTGCAGAAAGAGTTGGAGGGAAATGTGATGTGCTACATCTTTCCCCAAGGACATTCCAACATGGTGTTGACCCCCAAGGTCAGACTTTGCAAAACCGAAGAGTTCCATCTATGGCTCCACCGGTCTTAGTTATGTTAAATGGTAAAGTACAACACGAAACACGTGGGAAAAAAAACAAAAAAAAACGAAGAAAAAAAAAAGGATGGTTTCTTTGGAAAAGTTGAAGAAGAAAGTATCTGCTCTGCTAAGTGGCTGAAAATAGTTTAGCAAAGTATTGTCAGGATCCTTTAGACCTCTGGAATAATCTGTTTTGGACATATGAGGGTGAAGTACAGATGCTTGGCCAAAGAACACATACCGAATGTTGAGCATGGAGGTGGAAAAATGGTAATTTGGGCTTGTGTGGAGCCACCCCACTTGGGCGCCTTGCAGTCGCTGATTGGATGCTGAACTCCTCTGTAAACTCCAGTTCTCTTGAGCCAAGGACAATAACACTCTCAGTCAGAGGGAGGCGCCAAACACACAGCAGGTGATGAAAATGATATGCCAGAACCTAACAAGATGTAAACAATAAAGATGCTTTTCAAAAGTGCAACAAAGAGAGATCTGCTGTTTTTTTCAGAGTGTGTAATTTATCTCTCAGGGACAACAAGAATTGATGTTTTGGTAAGAAGTGACTTATTCTGTATTTTCTTTTTCTCTTCTTCAGAGCATTAATGCCTGGTAAGAGAAAACTGTATCTGAGTGGAGCATGGCTTTTCAGATGAGTTAGGAATAGTATGAATAATAGTATAAATCAGCTTCTGTGTGTAACTCCCAATCAACTGGTGCCACATTGGAAAGCAAATTCCTTCATGACATTGTGAATAAAGAAAGAACTACTGAGAGTAAGTGCTGCTAATGCTTTTTTTATTACTTTTTTAAAGACTTTAATTATAGTATATTATTTTCTTGGTTTTTCAGGCTTCTGTGTTTGGTATTTAGTGGTTTGGAAGCTTAAACGTTTGGAAATTGCTGTTTTATTTTTAGCAAAAATACAAAAAAGAAAGCAGTTCTCAGAGAGGGCAAATTAAAAAAAAATTACAAGGAAAAAAAACATGAAGCATTCTCTCTGAGAGCCATTCTCTAGATCAAATTATGAACCTCTGTATATAAAAATGTCAAACATTTTCTGAAGAGTAAGAGAAAACTCAACTGCCTCAAAATCTCTTTAAAAGCCTATTTTAAAAGCTGTTGAAAAATAGGCTAGTAAATATTGTTGTAAATGATTTATGGTATGAAAACCAGCTCAGATTGTATTGTTTATGTGTCCATAAGAGGGAACACCAGCCTCACACTTATTAAATACAAAGTCAAAAGGGTCAGATTTATTTGTGTTTAATCACACAAAGGTGTTACTGATATTCTGTTGATACCTAATCTTGATTCAAATTTCACCCGTTTTATATCAACACGTAACTACCCAGAGTCAGCTTCCTTGCAGAGGAAAGGCCGCACAATATCAGAACTGTTTTTAATTGTGATCTTATTGCTGAATATTACAATTATGATATTGATTGTGATTAACTTACAATTTCCTGACTGCGTCATTTGCAATAATGACGCAGTCAAGCTGTCTTTGAGAGTTTGAGCATCTTTTCCACTGTACATCCATTTTAGGCATAAATGGCAGTGAAATTCTGTCCATCAGGCCAAACACATTATTGCAGTGCAGAATGAGCATCCATGGGACTTGTTCTGCATTTATACTAAATACGATCCAAATTGGAGCACTCAGATGGGAATATAGGAATGACGTTAAAACCCAGACTAAACGAAAACATTTACCAAAATTGGAAGTGATTTAACATGGTGGTGTAAATTCACATTACACATGTAGTCAAAATTAAACTGAACATAACAGGAAACTTGCTCCATCTTTAAATGTCAACTAAAATTATTCATGCCTCAGTCAGGATGTCAAATACCATACAATAATCTACCCTCTGTATCGCGCTGTGAAACTCTGAATGTAAATGATGGCGGCTCATTTAAGAATGGCCATAGGCATCGGGCGCCCTGCGATAATGACCTCATTACGACAATGACTGAATTTAAATGACGACGTTGGGAAAACAGCTGCCATTTAGGATGAAAGGTAACAATAATTAAAGTTCACTCTCAGAGGGCACTCTTTAGTCTCTCGCACACAATCGGGTTTCTTTCACCTGCATCTGATGATTTCATGAAAACATCTGTCAGAGTCTGCTCCTCGTCATGCGAGGTGCGCCAGGTAATATTCACAATGATAAACTGTAAAATGACTCGATGTGTGGCCTCAGGAGGAAAAGTCTTCTGCCACTATCATGCTTGTATAAAGTAGATTTGTTCCATAAACGTACAGGACAGATATGATAGGACTATGCTGTCACAATGAGACACTGCTTGTGCCTGTGACCTTTAAATAATCAGGGAGGTTTTTATAGACCACCACAGTAAATTAGATTGTGGAAATATTTTACCTTTTTTTTACCCTGTATTGAGTTTTATGTTTGAAGGAAAGATTAGTGGAAAAAATCCCAAAACAAAACAATTTTCCTGATATGCTGTGCTTATTCATTATTTCTCAGCCATGTATTTTAAGTGCAACTGGATTTTTCTGCTCTTCAGACGGAGGCCATGCACCCAGACTGTGCTGTGGTGTTGCAGCACATGAAGGCTCAAGAAGAATGCTACGATATTCTTGAACAGGAAGAAAACAACTACTCATCCAAGACAGGTTGGTATGTTGTTATTCTGCTGTGGAGAAACTCAGAGTCTTTGCAAAAATAATTAATAGAAAACCATTCGAACCTTATTATTATTATTATTTTTTTTTTGTCAAGTGGTAGATAGGAAGTAAAGTAGTATTACCAGTTCTAAACTTGAAGAGAAAATTATACTAGCTTTTATTTTCATTTCATTCTCTGTTTTATTTTTGAAAATAAAAACCTGAAAGAGCAGCCACCATTAGTATGCAACCTCTTTTTCACGTGTGTTCAAATTAAAATTTATGGCCGGGGAACACATTAGCCATACCAGCCTTAATTTTGGAGTGGCTCATGCTTTTAGTTCTTCACCTTTCAAAGCCAAACATGCCCATCTTCTTCACAAATGTAAAAAATTTTTTATGTGCTCACCCACGTAGCTACCACAGTTTGATTTACTTATCCTCAAGCTAAATATTGTTTGCAGAGAGAATGGAAACCCAATATCTCAGTGTGAGATGATGGGCTTCAGAAGATTTCAAGGATGACAAATTTAAACACAAATATAAAGATATGGTGGCAGAATTACAAAAAGAGGGGGAAAAGATTATCTATGTAATATGAGGGAAAGCATGGAGTTCATTTTCGTCAGTCAGAGCGAATGCATTGTAATTATGTCATTTGCTAATATTTGTTACAGTTTAAGCAGGTCTTGCAATTTTGATACTACGTACAGAGACATGAAATCAAAGCTAGATTTCATATTGTAAAGCCTCTATGCTAGACTTTTAAATTAAATCATCAAAATGAATCTTCTTCTTGATATCTGAGATTAAAACATTGTGTATATAACCTCTAGGTCTCTTTGGCTTTATAATAAAATGTATCCTTTTATTTACTTTTTCAACTGAATCCAAAGGTTTTTACAAGTCTTGGAAATGTGGTTTTAGACATGTTTGACTATTGCTTTGTGTTGTTGGAAATGTTGCAACTATAGACTAAAATCCTGTGTGTACCTCTAACTTGTTTCTTAAATATATCATGTTTTACATAGTTTCTCTCCAGCAGACTTCCACTTTATGTTAGTTATTTCAAATCCTTACTTCATCTTTTTAATTTGCACAATTCAAACAATGACCAGTGTTGCATTTGTGAGGAGAGTGAAAACCAGGAGCCTCAGCAAGAGACCCTGACACTTTCTTGTGTTTAGTGTAACAGTGCATGGTTGACTCTATCTTGTCATGGATATCTGACTCTGGTACTTACAGGCTTCTACTTACAGGCACTCAAGACTGCTTGGAAAATTAAAATAAACCACCATAATCTAAACATAGACGTTTTGTGCATGCATAAAACTGCCTGGTATCTCTCACGCTCCATCTAGTGTAATGGAGTGTGAACTTAATTTCTGACAAAGTCCTGGGAACTTCTCCAAGAACCTTCACTAACCATTCACATTGACACTGGTTCGGTTTATGGCTTTGTTTGAATAGTTGGCATGGGAAGCATCAATCTCAAGTCTGTTTTCACAGTCCACAGTCAATACATTCTGGACAGGGAAGTCAAAATTTGACTCTCTGCCATGAGGAGAACAGTTTCACAATGTCTTCATGTGTTGGAGCAGAATGAAATAGGAGACTGGTCAGAACTTGGGTGAGTGTCTGCAGGTCTGTCATTGCTGCAGAAAGGCTCCAGTGAATCGGAATACAGTGGGAATTAGCCAATCTGTGATTCTCCTATTGGCTGATAGGCCTCCCTATTTAACAGTTCAAGCTTTCCGATTAAAAATAAAGACGGTCTATGTTTGTAGGGTTCTGATGCTTTTTTGAGTTCTCTAAAAGTGATTCAAAGGTGTCCTGATATGAGGAGGTCTCAGCTCACAGCTACAACTCCTAGAAGAAATTGCATGTCGAGTCTGGAGTGAAAATATCTCTGTTTTCCCCAAAGTACCAGAAAACAAATTTATACAAGTCTGTGACGAGTGCTTCAGCTGTCTTTCAGCTTCATTGAACTTGTAAAAGAAAAGATGCGTAGAGGGAATTAGTTGAAACTTCGGGTAACTTTCTACACCAGTCAGTTTGTGTGGCGGGGTGTTTGTCAGACATTCTTGTTTGTCTGACATTTGATGATGGATGTACAAAGTAGTCCAGCTGGATACCTTCTTGTAAATAATGATTGATTTTCTTTTACCAAATGCAAAGTATGCTTTCTTCATCCGGCTCAACAGACTACAATCAAAGGTAGAGAGAAATGTCTCTAACTTTTTTAAGGTTTGCTACCTACCTGAGTAGAAGGTGAACTATCTGAATCTGTTAAGATTCTTCTTTCATCCTTTTTCCACACCTCAAAACAAAACAAAACACTTGAACAGCTTGTGCACAAGGGGGTGGAGGGCTTCATTTTCCTTCTGTGATGTTGTCTGAAGCCAGGTTTATTACACCTGAAATGCTCTGTTGTGAAGTGTTTTCAGTTGTGTGACATGATCATTCCAAGCAGTTAAGCTTTGTTCTCGCTTGATGAGCGTCATCTGCTCACCAGTGGGGCTTCCAGTCTACACCTCAGCTGCTATTGCTCATAATTAATTGCATCATTTGCGTTCAAGCAAAGAGGAGATGTGACAATCAGACTCTGAGGTGGCAAAACAGAGGGTCTTTGTGTCTGAACAGATGAGCTACTGCAGTAGTCTGAGAAATAGTTTTATCTCTTTACGTGTGCAGAGATATTTATCTGAGTTTGGAAAGAAGTGTTTCACAGGAAATGTAACACGCTAAACTATTGACTCAGATATAAACCACACAGTTCCTGTTTTAGTTTTTAGTTTTGACCTTTTGGACAGTTTCATGGTGCCAACCTTCTGGAAACAGTTTGGAAATGCCCCGTCATGTTCCAACATAAAGAAAGCAAGAAAGTAATGTTTTTTTTTATTATTATTATTTCTCCATCCTCATTATTACACTCACCCTGAACATCAGCCACCCATGTGAATGTTTGTGTGTTACTGCCAGGTTCCATGTGGCTGTCACTTTCTGCTGCTGGCCTTTTCACAGATCATTACACAGCTCGACCGCTCTGCCCTCTTCATATTCTCAGGTCAGTTGCTGCTGCCATATTGACCATTAATTACTAGTGGAAAGTGTCACTGTTTACTGCAGCAGTAAAAGCAAATAACTTGACAGTAATGTGGATGTTGGTATTTTTAAGTTTTCCTCCCTCAACATGTAATGTTGGATTTTAAATAACATGTATCAACAAACTCAGAAATCAAAAGTTTTGTTCCAATACGTCTTTGGTTACTGATGGAGTCTGTTTTCCAAAACACACAACCATGGACCATAAAAACCAACATGTTTTTATTTTTATTTTATACTTTTAAATCACCAGCACTTTCAATGACGGTCAATAACATTTTTTGGACAAACAACATGCATGAAACATCAATGGCATGTGTGATTGCTGTGACATTATATTGAACATTTTTTTGCAGAACCCAATTTTTCCACAACTCTCTTAAGGTTGTACCACAGCATTTCAATCAGGTCATGACCTGGAGTGTACCATTGTAACACCTTCATTTATTTCTTTTTAAGATATTCTGTTGTTGATTTACACTTATGATCATTGATCTGTTGATGATCCATTTTGGACTGAGCTTCAGCAGTAAGACAAATGGCCTCACATATAACTCTAAAATATAAAGAGGACTTAAAATAATTTCAAGGTTCCCAGGCCCTGTGGCAGCAAAAAAATAAATAAATAAAAAATCAGTTCTTTACTCCTCCACAATTGTGCTGGGCAGTAGGTTTGATGTGTCTGTGTTGACGATCGGCAGCTTGTTTTTCTTTTTGTGAAAAATCTTTCTCAGTGTAGCATCCATCCATCCATCCATCCATCCATCCATCCATCCATCCATCCATCCATCCATCCATCCATCCATCCTTGCGATTGTTCCCCGTGATGGGCAGCAACTATTGCTGTCCAAGGCCATTTCTGCTTTTTTCCACCTTTGCATTGGACCGACGCCTACATGCTGAAGAAACTCACAAACTTACACAACTCCTGCTCTTACAGAGGTAGTCACTCTGGTAGTGAGTAATTAATAAATTGCTTTTGTTTAATCAAATGGAAGCAGCAAAGTTGGACTGTATTGACAGTCATGGAAACCTTCTTTTCTCCAGAAGGTTTCCATGACTGTCAATACAGTCCAACATTTGCATTTTACTGTATTTCTCAGGCAAAATGCTGTAATATTTTCCCCTTAGCTTTTAAAGAGTAATCTGCCAATAAATGTGCTGTTGACATTTTTTTTTATTTTAAAGTTGTGTCCTGTGGAATATTTTACTGCTTTCGTTTACTGCTTTGGTTTGTGAGGCAGGAAAAAATAGGAATTCAAGGGATAAAATTTAAAAAGGTTTTTTCAGAACAAAACCTTAGAAGGCTTGTATTATGTATTCTCCAGGCACATGGTGTCATTTTCTAGCACAAAAAGGTAACTATGTTAACTTCAGTTACAAAAATTCTGTATGCAGCAAAAATAACTTAAAAGAAATTTGACTTTACAATTTGATGCTTTGAAATTGGCGTCTGTCCCTTTAAGAAGTTCCTATGCTCTTTCTGATACTCTTGTGCATGTCACCACAACAATTCACCTTTACCATTTCCAATCGCTCTTGGGGTGTTGGACTGAGAAGTAGTTCACATGCTGAGGCGGAGTCTCCTAGTTCTAGGAGGAGCTTTGTGAAAATAGGCAGTGCTTTGTTAGAGCAAGAGCACAGACACCCTAGAATGGCTGCCAGGGGAGATTCAAGGATTTCTCAAATATGCATGAAAGAATCAAAGCAATTCTCCAGATATGTTTTTGATGAATGGATAACATGATAACATGGTGTAAAGCTCAAAAAGTAGATTTCATGCAATACTCCCCTCATAAAAATCTAACAGCGTGATTAGACAATTGATAAGCTACAGGTGTTTTTCTTTAATATCTTCAGATTATCTCTTGATATACAGTTCTTCTATCTGCATCTCATAACAA